CTACAGCGTATTCCAGATGGTATTCTACGAAGTATATACAGGGTATATGGGGGGAAGTATACTACAAGGTATTCTGAAACGTATGTTATTCCGACGCAGGGTATTGTAAAATGTTTTCTATAGGGTATGTATAGGGAGGGTATTGTATAAGGTATTCAGGTATTCTCTACTACAAAAGCTTTGATTTGTTCGGAGAGGTCTTGCTCAATGAACCTCAATTCAACACGGGAATTCTCAGATCTTGGGCTCTCCCGATTTTCCCTATCTAATTGCTTTATCTGAAACGTATGCTACAGGGTATTCCATAAAGTAAATATGGATAGTATTCTAAAAGTTATTTGGTAAGGTGTTCTATAGGACATAGAATATTCAATCAGGTATATGTGAGGTATGTAGGGAGCATTCTATAAGGTATTACCGAGGGTATTCCATATGAAGTTCTTCAAGGGTTGCAGCAGGGGTATGCTGTAAGGCGCTCTATAAGGCTATTCTCCGAGATTCTTGATTTCCTTTATGGAAGCGACCTTGGTATATGGGCTTTCATGGGAGGATGTGTGTGTGTGTGTGCGTGTGTGTATATGCGTGTGTGTGTGTGTGTATATGCGTGTGTGTGTGTGTGTGTACCGTATGTTATCACGTAAGCCCTTCCTGATATTACCACAAGAGGCACGTCACATTATACGTAAAGGTTCCTGCCACATATATATATATATAAATAAATATATGCACATTTATATATAATAGGAACTTGGTTTTGGGATATATAAACAGCAATCGTACAGCAATCGGACCGTAGTCTTTGGAAAGCGTATATGACGATGAGGTATTTGCACATGGTTGGGGGTATTCCCGAGATCCCTAAATGCCCTGAATTGAAGGATGGACGAGAACCGGTAGAGACATCTCAAGCATCTATCCCTCATTAAGTGCTCTGTGCGCAATCTTACACGGGGGCCCGAAACCCTGCAAACCATGAAACCAAGTTGTTGGTGATACGTCTAACCAGAAAATCTTCGAGCCTTTGGCACCGAATCGTGCAGAAGGCTTGCATAGGATAGCTTAGTCATAGTCTTTGCTTGCCCTGCAGCTGTAGTTAGTTACTTCAGGTAGTCTCCCACAAGCGTCCATGTACGAGTAGAGTATCTTAGACCTTGGCCGTAAAGTGCCTAATTAAGAAGGAACCCTTTTGAGCACCAAGTAGAAGCTATACAGCCTGTAGTCAACCTATACAACTCCACACACCCTAGGCCCTGAACCCTAGTCCAGTAGTACTACAGCACGCCGAAGAAAGCGACATTTGATGCTGAACGTGAGAAGCCGAGGAATCCCAAAAAGTGGGAAGACTTCGCGAACGCCGCAGGCAACATCAGGATAGTTCCTTGCATAGGGAGTCGCAGCGTCACCGCTCGGCTTCAGGACTCAGGACTCTGTGTGTGCCCTGTGCCAGGCTTCCGGCAGCGCGTCAAGCGCAAGTCGCTTCCTGCTGGATCGTCGGAAACTTGTGGAGTGTGATTACCATCTTTACCGATGGGGTCCTCATCATGTGGTCAAGGTCGCAGAAGCTGAGTGATGGCCCAAGGGCAAGTGATGCAGGTCGCGGGACTCAGACACCGAATAGAACTGCATGACACGTCTAGTAACGTTTATCGCTGCGAGGATTGCAAAGGCGACCTCGCCGATCTGAGTGCGGAACAGCATCCACTCGTCCAGAGGCCACGAGTTCACATGAAGCCAAAGCTTCGTGGAGCCACTGCTTGCGGAGTCCTCGCTGAGGGCAAAGCTCGAATGAAGGCCCAAGCCAGGTGCGCACTATGCTGACCTTCATCTTAGGAGCTTCTTTATGCCTGGGCATGGGCAGCACAGTGCTCTCCAGGCGATCCGTGTCCTTCCTCACGTCGTCTTCGGGCTTCGACATTGAGGCCTCGAAAGTGCGTCTATCTCTTCAGGCGAGTTTCCCGGGCTTTCCATTGTTTTTTGCATGCAGGCACCGGCCAGCAACCGGAAGGTGCCCCAAAGAGGATATGCTGTGAATGGCAGAAGTTCCGCTTCATTCCCTGAGGTCTGCCGAGCCCTGCTTGGCGGCATCTACTGCGCAGTCTCTGGCAAGCCGGATGCTTTGACCGTGCCCTGTCGTGTGCTTGGCCAACCTGTGCAACCTCAGGCAGACGCTTCAGTGAGCTCTGTGCGTGCTGAACTCAGGGCTGCTCACCCGCAGAGTGTGTGCGCAGTTGACAGTTCACCCGACGACTTCTGCGGTTGATCCGGAGCGTTTCTGCTGAATGTAGCAAAACTTGGCGCAAGCTGGCGGACAAGGTCATCCTCCCATCAAGTTCGACAGTCTCCACTCACTGATTCTGGTACCCTAAGTGGAGCCTGCCAGATTGACATACCCTAGCCACTAGCATTCTGATCCACTGCGCACTTCGCACAGAGCCCAACGCAGAGCCCCATGCACTAGTTCATCAACGGCTTTACAGCCATGTCCTGTCCCGATGGCTTCCAGCTGGAGATCCGCGCAGAAGGGGACGTTTGCAGGGGTGAGCAGCAAGACGGCGGCTTGACTTCTTCAGGTAAGTGCTTGCGCTCAACAACTAACCCTCCGGCCCTCCGGCATGCCTGGTCCCAGGCATGGGGGCGGGTTGGACTTGCCCCCGAGGATGTGTACAAACAGGCTCTTCGCCCTCCCGAGTCTCGGTGTCTGCTTTAGCCTCGACTTCTGGAGGAGCTCCGCCGTTCTGCCAGGCCCTCGGCGTCAGAGGCGTGGTAGGGGACGGCAGCCGAATGAAACGACGGCGGCTGTCCCGCTGTCCGCTATGTCCTGCGCAGGACACTGCCTCGGCTCGCCATGCCGGGTTCAGGCGCCTCTGCTTCTGATGATTTCTGATGGCCATTGCATTCTGCCCGAGAGGATGTTGTGAGTTGCCTGGATCGCTATGCAAGGTTGGGCATGCTTCGGCATTTTGTGAGCTTGGCATGTTGTTTCCGCAGCTCTGGCTTGTCTTGATTTCAGGTATGAGCCACTAGACTTGCCGGGAGAAGGACGAACGCAGGAGGCCAATGCAGCTAAGCTGCAAGAGGCACGACCTTCGGCTTCATTATGGAACGAGCATGTCGTGCTTAGAGACTCAGGTACGTGCTTGCCAGCAGCGCTGTGCTAGTGTGGCCGCCTGCTCACACTTCTCTTTCTTTCGGGATGGACCGCCATGGGCATGCTCAGATGTGATCCGAGCCCTGAGCCCCGAGAGAGTCTCGCAGGAGGTTGCCACCTCCAGGACTCGTCCGCAGGCCTTGTCCCAGACGAAGATGCTACTGGGACCATGCAGATGCCAGACGACCGCAGCCTCCAAAATACCTGGTCACGTAAGGCTTTCTGCGGCCCCTCAAGATGCGCTTCAAGCAGTGCTTCAGAACCCGTGCCAGAGGTGCGACCGTTTAAATGTTTAGCGAGAACGCGGAAGAAGGGTTCGGTCGCATCGATACCATCCCCCCCCAACACACACATTGCGACTCCCCAACCTAGCAAATCAGGAAAGGCACTGTGTCTGCGATGGATCGACACCGGTCTGAGAGAGTTTCGAATCCAGCTATGATTCACAGATCACATTACAAAGCCGTATGTCGTGTTTCTTTTCTTCCGGAGGCATGCATGCCGAAGCCTCTGGATCACTACTATTGCTGAAATGCCTCGAGAAATGGAAACCGGCGACCTTTCCATCGTTTTGCAAAACTTTATACAAGCTCTGCGAAGCTGAGAACACTTACATATTTGTTTAACGAGTATTTATCAGCTTCGTAAGTTGAAACTCCGTGTATGCATTTCTAAAGATTACATCGTTACGAAGTGTGTGTTTTTGTTCAGGTTGGAATGTTTCCAGTTTGCAGATGTTTGCATCGCACAGCAGGTAGATCTATCTTTGTAAGCTGTACGAATGCCTTTGTAACGCTTGCGGCTTCTCCATTCAACCCAAATGATGACGGACAAAGTTTCCTGTAAATGTAAACCCTGACAAGAATTTACGTACAAGTTTCATAAACCTTCGCTGGTTGGATACCGGAAGCCGTGAACAATCGATCAACGTTGTACACATGGAGTGGAAACTGTGTAGAAGTGTCATAAGGCTCATGAAGTTGTAATGTTCCCCTTCGAAGCAGTTTTTCTCATACACTTTGTGAAGGTTTGTGTTTTGCTCAACGGGAATTCGGAAGTCTTGAACACTTCATAAACGTCGCAAGTCAAGTAAGCAGTAAACCTTTTAAACTTCAGCAGACTCTCATAACTCTCATAGAGCCACCTCGCTTTATTGCACAGATCGGCCGCGCCATTTGAACAATTAATGCGACGCTGCTGCCACCTTGCGGCACGTGCATGTTTGCTGCGGCAGCCCATGATTAACCTGAAGTCTCTGAAATCAGCAAACTCCAACATGCGGTCTTGACGACACCGTGATGCAACATCTTTGGTAGAATCTTCCATAAGCTTTGGAAGATAATGGGCTTCAACAGGCACTGTGCCGCAAGCTGGTGCCCAGCAGTCTAAGACAAAACATACTCTCACTGAGACTGTGCCAATCTGTGGCAGCCACGAACCCAACGTAAATTGCCTAGTTGCTTTCTTAAAGTGGGGCAGCACAGCACTGAAATGAACTGCTCTAGTGTGGGGTGTACAAGAGTAGAAGCAGGTCTCTGCACCTGTGCCTGGCTGACGGGGATTGGGTGGCATGTCGGGTCAGGCTAGTGCTTGCTCAACCTATGTCCTACGTCCCGACAGTCTACCCTTGCTCGTCGTTGTCCTGCCCAGAACTTGGTGCCGCCATTCGGCTACCTGAACACCTTGCTTCACCCAGATCCCCTACGAAACATCAATTACGGCCCAACTCTTCTGACTCCAACCACCAAGAAGGCACAATCAGTTCTCTCAACTTCAAGCAGCAAGGAAGTCTCACCCCGATTCCAAGCATTCATCTTTTCGGGCCCACGCAACCTTTCGTTATACACAGCCTTTCGACCGTAAGGGAGCCTGACGGCCTGAGCCAAGCCGACCTCGCAACGTAGGTCTCGTCGTGGCTGATCGACAGGAGCTCCCTGCTTGGCGCCCAGCTGCGGTGCCGAGGTCATAAGATCATGATACAGATGGCAACTGCTGCTTGTAGCACGTCGGAGCTCGGGACGGTAGGGACAGATATAGAAAATCACTACACGAAGACCTGCAATAGTCGAGGTTGCACATGTGGAAGTTGTACCGATGTCATGAGCGGAACTCTTGCTGCAGCCAGGCCGTTGCAGGTTCGTGGCTCCCACGTGCTTTCGGTCGATGGACGGCGCCAAGTCCTCGCGTGTGTAAATTGGCATCTCGGCCAACAAGTCTCCTGCAGTCTGGGCATCAGCTTCAGTCATCTGATGGTGCACAGTGTTGGGTGCAGGAGACGCAGATCAGCAGTGGTATCACAGTGTGTTTATATTGTTGACTCTAATCTTATCAGTACTGATGGGCCAGGGCATATTGTTGACATCGGCGAGCACGGGTGGCCTAAAGCACTTTGGCTGAGATGCCACAGCAGATTCGTCCAGGTACGGAGCCCACATGGAGATGCTGGTGAACAATGGGCTCAATGTGAGATCGCTCGCAGAGGTTGCCCATCATATCGTGGAGTTGAAGTTCAACTGCGTTCGCTTGCCGTATAGCCTGGACTCGCTGAATCTCAGTGCCGCCTCAATTCCACATCCTGCATCCCAGCTGTGCCACAATCCAGAGCTCCAGGTGGCTCGGCAACGTATCTTAAAGTGGATCACAGCTTGCAAGCGATTTGTTATGAGAGGCGTCGACGCCGCTGGAAATTTTCGACTCAACGGTGCAAGCACTGACAGATGCGGGCTTGCTGGTCGTGAGCCTTGACCTGCAACATTACATGCTCGCGTCACGTGCAACCCTTGCGTGCCCATGCGCATGCACTCATGGGGAGACCACAGGCTGAACAATCACGTGTCCAAGCGTGGTTGGTGCTGCGCGAAGAGCTCAGATGGGCCTAGAGAAGCAGCGCGGGACGGCAGGAGCGTGCAAGGAGAAGTGACTGAGCTAAGGACGCGTCTGATGGCGAGGGACTTTGGTACACCGAGGATTTTCCAGAATCCGTTTGGTTAGACCACCTGAGCTTCCTGGCAGCTCGTTACCGCGACAATGCCGGAGTCGTTGGTTTCGATATTCGGAACGAGATACGATCTACGGAGTTTGAAACTCCAACTTGGGGTGGTGGCAGCACAGATTGGGCGGAGGCAGCTTCCAAAGGGAGCAGGCGAGTCCTGGACGCGAATCCAGACATGCTACTTTTCATTTCGGGCTTGGAGCAACTTGTCTCCCGTGAAATATGCAGACATGGAAATCTCACTTGCATGGGCCAGTTGTGTCGCTAATCCGTGCTCTTCATTGGTATGGTAGGGTAGCATCCCACCCCCTTTCTCCCCCTTCCTAGAATTAACGGACCTCGGAAATCATTCAATACATTTATCCGGGGGGGCAGCCGGGGAGCCAGCAGCCCGCCAGGCGGCAGCCAGCAGCCAGTGGCCAGCTGCCGAAATTCAAAAATAAATACAAAAATACTAAAAACTTGCTTGGTAGTAGTAGTAGTAGTAGTAGTAGTGGTGGTGGTGGTGGTGGTGGTCGTAGTAGTAGTAGTAGTAGTAGTCGTAGTCGTAGTAGCAGTGGTAGTGGTGGTGGCAGTGCTAGTTGTGGTAGTACTGTAGGTGCGGTAGTTCCCGGCAGTAACAGTAGTAGTAGTGGTAGTGGTAGTAGTAGTAGTAGTAGCAGCAGCAGCAGCAGCAGCAGCAGCAGTAGCATTCATTCCCCACGCAGCGAGAGTCGTCCACGCCTAGCGAGCAGACAGGTAACACGGTTTTCGTGTTGCCCGGAGCTTCGGATGAGCTCAGGAGGGCTTATGTCAGCTCCTTCTGATACTAACTCGTCCTTGGTTGCTTCATCACTCTTTCGCCTGCCGCATCCATAGCAGGTATGATGCTTCTGGGAAGTCATCTGTAGCAGATTTTGCAGGACTATTGTCATCTGTGATCCATGTCTGCAGATTGCCAAACTTCTTTTGACCTCGAAGGATGGTGCGGTAATGCCCCGTGTCAGGCGAATGTCCAAAATGGAGTTGTATCGCCGTGACCTCATATCGGGCAGGGTGTACCGCAGTGGTGTGATCCGACGCAAATACTGGCACATGCACAATGTGATGACGGTCCTGTAGGGGCCGAACATGCCGTGTGAGATGTCCCCTCTCACCTGTGAAGCGCTGCAGCTGAATGCACAATATGTGTGGAGGACTAACGAGAGCATGCACAGCAGCCTGAAGATGCCACTGGTCAATCACTCTTTGTAGGTAAAGAGCGTCCCCTGGATGAGGGAACATAAGGAGTGGTGAATGCATGCTCCCCGTATCACTGACTCTGGCCTCCCATCGAGCATCTGGACTGTTGACCCGAAGCCTGGGTAGGAGATGTGTCACAAGCTCGGGAGCATCATGCTGTCTGTGGATGTCCCGCCATCCCTGCAGCAGTACACTCCAGGGAAGCTGACTGAGGAGCTTGAGCGGACGATGCAAGGCAGACTCATCTCTGTTGCATAACAGCCTGAGGGCCGGGGCTAGATGGAGATCCCCTTGATCGTGCAGCTGAGCCTGTAGGATGGTCCAGCTTGCTGCAATGGCAGTGGAGTTTAAATAGCACAGATTGGTGTCATTGTGAAGTGAGACCTGCAGCAGTTTTCGGAGACTGGTGATCGCGCCTGTGTTCATCCCCAGAGACTGGCCGCCAGTGCATCGTACTGTGGCCGATCGCGCCTCAATCTGCACCCGATCGTGTGGAATGCTGCCTGTCCAATCCACGAAGTCAGAGCACTCCAGATCGGAGAGCCTTCTTGGCGAAGAGACACGAAGATCTGGAAGGTCACCCATTCCGTTTTTACTCCCTCCGTCAGCCGTCGAATAGACTTGAACCGAATTAGCGATGTCTCGTTGATGGCCTTGCGGACCTGCACAATCTGGCTCAG